AGAATTGTTAATAGGAGACCCTAGTTCCAATTACACTTCGCCCCCTCCTTGTATCACTAATCCATAATTATCTTTAAAAAAATTAAAATCTAAAAATATTTTCTGGCTTTAAATAACCTTTAAAGGCTTGACAAACAGAAAAAAAACAATCAATATAAGTAATAAATATATATATTTGATAAATGTTAATGAGGAAGGACTACTTTTTCTGTATATTTATTTTGGCCTTCTTCTTCTTCTTCTTCTTCTTCTTCTTCTTCTTCTTTGTACGATGTCGCTTCAGGATATTAGCAATTATAACTCTCACTAGTTTCCTGTCCTGTGTAGCTCTCAGTAAATTTTATATTTTGCCATTTTTCCTAAAACCTGTTCAACCATACATTTTCACAAACTCATGAGGCAAGTTAAGCGATATTTTACTCTGTCCCTAGTGACCTTCAGTATGTCACGTGTTTGCCAAAGTCTTCAAGCCCTCTTTCCTCATTATTTGCCCAAGAAATATCAACTGTCTCTTTATATTGTTAAATATAAGCGTCGTTTTTATTTTTACTTTATCTAAATCTTCGTCGTAGCTCGTATATTCAGTTCATTGTATTCTTAGCTTTTTATTTTAGTTAGAACCCCATTTCAGTTGAATCAAGTCTCTTCTTCATATGTGATGAGATATAGGTGGGTCAGCTTTCGATAAGGTTGAATATACAATTAATTTTCATAGTAAACTGTACACCTTATTAACATTTATACAATTTATTAATAATTTTTTTTATATCCGGTATATGGAGTGCTTAATCAAAAAGGATATTAAAAGAAATGTTTATTATTGTTCTTATTGTACAGCTCTACGGGAATCTTTGCGAGAAAAGGAAAGAGATAAGAAGACAAGGAAGGTAAGTCACAAGACAATAGAGGGTATAAAGGGACACCTTTAGCCAATCTCTGGGCATTAAAACGAGCGGAAAGACAGAATTGGTAGGATAAAATTAAAGAAGACGAAATAAGTGGTTTATTAAAGAAGACGAAATAAGTGGTTTATTTTTAACTAGCAGTAGAGCCCGGCGTTGCCCGGGGATGTAACAGTAAGAGATAGATCAAGTATTGACCATCATAAAGATTGAAAAATAAAATTGACAAAGATTGACGGACACGCATGTCTTAATTAGTTTTTTTTTGTTTTTGTTTTTTTTTTTTACGAATTGGTCAAACCCAAACTCAAACAAAAACATTGTTTTCAATCGTTATGTGACTACCAATTGAATAGAATTTTATTATAAACAATTGTCTTGTAAATGGAATTTTTAAAGCATTCTGAATGTAAAAATAAAGAAAAAAGTGTGCAAGACAATAAGAAACACTACCTGCCAAAAAAAGTGAAGTTTTGTTGAAATTGGTTGAAAAATGTAGGAAATCCGATCCAAAATATAAAGGAACACACACACACACACACACACACACACACACACACACACACACACACACACACACACACAACCTGGGTTTTATAATAAGTATGATTTTGCGGGTTAGAGTTGCTGTAAGGCAAGCTAAAGAAATTTTGATTTGAAATCTATAATTTGATAAAAAAATTATAATTTCTTGGGGAGAATTAATATTTGCGATTAGTAACTTTAAATTATTTGCTGGGGTGGGGGATTAATAGAAAAAAATCAAGAAAGTAAGAAATGACATTCAATAAAGAAAAAAAATATTCAGATTTAACTCATCGGATTCGATCGAGGATAATAAAATAAAAAGACGTACCTACTAAAAAAAAACAAAATAGATTATATAATATATTAACAACGAAGATTTATACGGAAGATTATATTGTAAAGGAACATTACTGTCGTTCCTTTTGCTTACACAGGATAGGTTGCATAGACTTAAAGGAAGTTGACTTAAGTACTTTGAGATTAAATTTTGAGTGCGGTCTGCAGAAAATAGAGAACATTCTCCTGGCACGCCACAGCATATTGACATTTTTTTATCAGGTGCTCCACAATAGCAGACACAAAATGATCATTGAGTTGACCTCTCTTAATAAATGTCGGAACATGCTAAGAAATTGTACTCTCTCTAAGCTGAGTTGTCCTGCCTATGTAGTCAGCGCAAATATTGGCATTAAAAAGAACAAATAAGATCACTTATTTTTGAAGATAGGCAGATTATCTTTGCAAACAAATTTCAACACCAGCCGATAATTTTTAATCACTCCGAGCAAGGCGCTAAACTCACATATTATTTGACTGAATGATTGATTACATTTTTTACAGGTTACCGTCCTTTTGTCGATTATTGAAAACTGAAACATTTTGGATGGTAAAAATCCTTTTTGGTTAGTGAATATTGCATTAACAATTTTTTGGAGATAATGATTTTACCAAATACATATCCTACTATTTAATCCATATCTGGGTGAAGAAATGGATTCATACCTTTCACAAGGATATTTATGCTTAAATGAATTTAGCAAACCCAAATGGGTAAAGTACACCGAGAAAACCTTATTGATGTGAAAGGACAATAAAAGAACACGCTTCAAGTGTCATAAGACACGATGCATTTAATTTTTTAAATATTGTAGTTGACAGGAAACCAAGAATCTAGAATAGAGTTCCACAGGCGAGGAGTGTGATAGAAGAAACTACTAGAATAGAACTTATGCTTAAATTTAGCAATTTTAATAGAATAATGATGAGACCTATCTGCCAATCTAGTACTGCGTTTAAGTTTATAAAGTTGAGGTACTAAAGAGTGAAATCTATTAGAACAATTGCTCTGAAAAGATTTATAGAAAATACTCAGGACAGTTTCGTGACAGCGATAGAAAAGCGATTGAAACTATGATGCCATTAATATGTATATTTACTTGTTTCTGGATAGAAACTTTAAAAATTTCCATCTCTGTGTATACGTATTTATTTAATGACACAAGTTGATCTATATTGGAACCATATATGTTGAAATCATTTACTGTGAAAAAGTAAAAGCATAATCGTATTGATCACTTCAGCTGCTGTTATGATGACAAAAATGAGAGATCAATCTTATTTTGAAGATGGATAGATTGTCTTTGCAAACATATTTCAACAGCGGCCGATACTTTTTGACCGAGGAGTTTCTGACCATTAGATCCCAGTTCGAATCGCATCAGGGTCCATTTGTCATGAAATTAACTTCTTGATGTTATTGTCTTGGGCAGACGATCTAAACGTGAGGCAAATTTGAAAAATACCTGAACAGCATACCACTCGTTTGATCCAAGCCTTGTGAGTGAAATAAGGTAGACGGAATCGTTCCTCGATTGATGTGTTAGCCGGACGTCACAAGTTATCATGACCGAGGTTTAGAGCATATTAGACTTGTTCAAACTGTTGATCACACCAGATGATCTCTTCTATAAACTCTACGTAAAGTTCGCTAAGTGGAGTTGCAATATAAAACACAGGGGTACTCCGTGAGTATAGAACAAAGAGAAATGTACCTGAGCAGGTGCCGGCTGTAGGGATTGGATAGCCCTAGCAGATAAGCATCCTCGGAAACGAGCAACCAGCCATTATATGCAGTTAGCCGTGTGTTCAAAACAAAGGGTAGAAATTATAATATAGAAAAGAGAGATTTAGAAGAGAGAGAAAGAGAGAGAGAGAATCTCTGAAAAAGAAAGAGAGGTGAATATAAAACGTATCAAGAATGAAAGAAACGGCATGGAAGAAACTAAAGAGAATAGAGAGAGAGAGAGAGAGAGAGAGAGAAAATAGAAAAGTAGACCATATTATGAGAGGCGGTGAATGAAATCGAAGAACTGACATTTGGTGAAAGAGAAAGTGGGAAATCGAAACAAAAAAGTATATAAATTTAGAAGAGAAAGAGAGAGAGAGAGAAAGAGAGAGAGAGACGGGTGGGAACAAAAAGTGTTTGAATGTGTTAGTTTGTGGTGATGGGGAATTATTGGAGTTAGGCGTTTAGAAAAGGGGCCACCGGCCCCGGGAAAACAGTTCGGCGTGAGCGTGTCAATAATCGATCAGTCTAGTAATTATTTGATAAGCGAACAGTGTTCAATACACGAAAAAAAAAAAAAAAATTACAGAGGCAATAACTACCAAAAAGAAGAATGATTCGTCGATGGCTATGGAAGACGTACTGCATTGGCCCAAGTATTGATCGATCCGGTGGGGGCATTGATCGATCGACGCATTGTATCGATCGATCACTACAATGTTTGAAAGGGCGTGTACCAGAATTGTCAGGCTAAAGAAGGGTGTTTAAGTAACGACGACCACGACAATGATGATATTGAAGAATGAATGGAGAAAAGGAGTAGGAGGAGTAGGAGGAGGTGGAGGAGGGAAAAGACGAGAAAGAAACAGTGGAAGCAGAAGGAAAAGAGATAAAGAAACTGGAGGAGGAGGAGGAGGAGAAAGAGGAGAAGGAAGAGGGTGGGGGAAGTAAATGAGCAGGACAAAGAAAAGGAAGAGATAATGAGAGAGAAACAGTAGAAGGAAAAGAGATAAAGACAAAGGGAAGGAACAGGACGGAGTGGGGGGTGAGAAATGAGAAGGACAAAGGAAGGAAAAGAGAATGAGAAAGAAACAGTGGTGGGGGGGCTGAAGGAAAAGAGATAAAGAAAGCGCAGGCAGAGAAAGAAGAGGAGGTAAGTGAAGAAAATGAAGTCGAAACAAATCTAAAGATAAAAAGGAGAAGAACAGGAGCCGGAGAATAAGAAGTAATTTGAAGAGAACATGGTGAGGGGTAGTGAAAGTATAGCAAAGCGAAACGGAAGGAGGAGAAAAAGGAAAAACCGAAACAGAAAAGAAAAATGGAAGAGGAGAGGAATGAGGAAAAACATAAGAATAAGAAAAAGAGAGAAGTGAAAGAAAAGAAGCAAAATGAAAACAGGAAGAAGTGGGAGAGGAAGGTAATAACAAGAGGAAGAAAGAGGAGGAAAGACGAAAGCCAATAAGAAATTAAAAAAAAAACAGGAGTAAGGGAAAAAGGAGGAGAAATTAAAAGCGAAAGCAACAGCGAGAAAAGAAAGAGAGAGGGAAAAGATAAACAAAGAGAGGGGAAAGAAGTGTGTCAGAAAGAAAAAAAAAGAGAAAGTAGAAACGTAAGAGAGAAAGGTATAAATGAAAGAAAAAAAGGAAACAATGATGACGGAAAATTAACAAAAGAACATAGAAACAAATAAGACGAAATAAAATGTAAAAAAATAGAGGGAGATAAGGAATTAAAACAGAATAGGCTAGAAATAAGAAAAGAGAGGAGAAAAGAAACAATGATATAAAAATAGAGAAAGAAAAATAGAAGAGAAGTAGAAATAGAGAAAAAGTAACAAAGCGAAAAGTAAAACAAAAAAACAAAAGTGTGAGAAATAAGCAAAAAGAGTGGGGAAAAAGCAATGATATTAAAATTGAGAAAGTGAAATAGAGAAAAAAAATGAAGAGAACGCTAAGTAAACAAAGATACGGAGAAAAGAAACGAAGAGAGAGTGAAAATAAAGAGAGAGTGAAAATAAAGAGAGAGAGAGAAAAGTAACAAAGAAAGTGAAAAGAAAGAGAAGGATAAATGAAACAAAGAGAGGGAGAAAAGAAAGAAAGAAAGTGTGAAAGAAAGCAAAAAGTGAAGGGAGTGCACTGAGAAAAGTAGAAAATGAAGTATGAAAGGAAAACGACAAAGAAAATTTGTTGTATAAGCGACACTAAGAGAAAATAATAAATTATGATAATAAGGATCTGCCAAATATAGTAAAGAATTATTAAGATTGATAGAACGAAAGCAAAAAACGCTGTGAAGAGGCAGTAAGAGGAAATAAAAACTTATAAATTGGAAGAAAGAAATGAAGAATAAAGAAAAGGTGTTGTTGTTTAAGACGCTGTGATGGAGAAAAAGCTTTAGTCATCGAGAAAAGAGTAAGATGGCGGTTGCGAGTAGCAATGCCAGCAAAGTAGAAAGCGCATGCGCCCGAGTGAGTGATAGATAGATAGATAGATAGATAGAGAGAGAGAGAGAGAGAGAGAGCAAAGAAATACAGTAATAGAGGAAGCAAAAGGAAGAAAGAGAGAAAAAATATATAGATTATAAATAAGCGATAAATAACCATAAAATCGTAACGTCATCTGATGCGTTGGATAAGTTCCCGGGGAGTTGGAGTTCAAACCCCGATAAAAGCAATAGTTTTCAATATTATTTTTGAAGTCAGACCCTGCTTCTTTGAAAGATTTTATGCAAAAAACAATCTTCCTATCCCCCAATGTTCCGTATTAAGCTAAAATTCGTAAAAAAAACAACAACAAAAAACAAGACGGAACTGGTTATAAAAAGCTAGTAATACTGATAGAGAGGACAGCTTCTTTGGCGATTAGACTAGGAGAATGAAAATTCAAAACCAACTGGGAGAGGGTTGGGCGCCTTCATGCCATCTTGCCCAGGAAACACGATTGCTACTACAGGTGCAGTACTTGTGGGGCTCCTAGAACTCTAACGGGTTTGAGGACTTGTGATCGTGATATTGAAAATCTAGAAGTTTTGGCACCATACAGTCTTGTATGTGATTCAGGAAGTGGGCGGTCATGTCTCTCCATAACTTCCTATCATTTGTAGCTTTTAGTAAGTTTTTTTTTTTGCACTCACTGCCTCTTCTGTCTTCAATTTGGTAGGTTACTTGCTGTTTCCTTTTTTCGTTTTTGCCTTCAAGATGTTATGTGAGGGCCTCCATACTCTCTTTCCCGATGATGTGTTCTAACAATGTGAACCGTGTCTTTCTGATTCTCTCTCTCTCTCTCTCTCTCTCTATATATATATATATATATATATATATATATATATATATATTTGTTTCTATTTTTCGTAAAACTTTCTCGTTACACACAAGTTCAGTCAAAAGTAGTCTCAGCATCCTTATGTAGAACCACATTTCTCTTGCCTCAAGACTCGTCTTGGGTAAGACGACAAACTACATCCGACAGCAAGGCCTCTGATCATGAGGTTTAGAGGAGCGTGGAACCAACTATTAATTGCTGGTGTTACAAGGTCCACCCTGAACAGGAATGGTAGAACCTGTCAGTGTCTCAGCGATGGACAAATAATTAATCAAAACACTACAAAAGTTTAAAAATAAGTTTTAGCGCTAGCAATACATTTTTGTAAAAAAATTATTACCAGCAATGAATTTTTAAGGAAAATTATTACCAGCAATGAATTTTTAAGGAAAATTATTATCAGCAATGAATTTTTGAAGCAAAAAATATTACCAGCAATACATTTTTGAACAAAAAATATTAGCTGCAATAAAAATCGAGTCGGCATTAAATAACCCATTGAGGTTCATTTGCCGTAAAACAAACCAAACCAAACTGTTTCACGATCATATACGAGGACTGATATTACACGATAGTCCAGCACTCTTTCCTTTATTTCTAACGATATTTTCATATTTTTTTAAAAAATATTTTGTTTATTTTTGGGAAGGTATCTTTTGGTTATTTCACCACACCTTTGGATTTCAGCTTTAAAGATCTTTACAGGTATGCAAATGTCTGTACCATCTTGATTTTAATATCTCCAATACGTCTTGGACAGTTTCTCTTGTTGGTAACCATATATGCTCTCTTCTTAGAAGTGATGTCTCGTCATTTCTTCTCCCTTTCCTTTACTGCCTTCTATAGGAGTACCGGCAGTTTCTTTCCTCTCTCTGCTATCAACATTGTATTATCCTTTTGATGTTGTTAAGATTGTATCCGTCAATAATAAATCATGTAGAGCATTTAATTCTCTCAGAGTCGCCTCACTGTTTATTTGTTTAGCAGCATATCAACTCCTTATAAGTCATTTAATGTCGAAATTTAATTTTTTGGGAGCATAGTTTTTTACAAAAAATATATTGCTGGTAATTTCTTTTTCAAAAATGCATTGCTGATAATATATATCTTTCTTTACAAAAAAATATATTGCTGGTAATTTTTTTTTAACAAAAATTTATTGGTGGTATAATGTATTTATTTATATTTTCCAATATGTATTGCTGGTAATTCTTTCTTACAAAAATGTATTTCTTTTATTTATTTTTCAAAAATGTATTTTTGGTATTTTTTTATTATTATGAAAATGTATTGCTGGTATTACTCTAAAAATGTATTTTTATACTTTCATAGTGTTTTACCTCATTTTGCCCTAAAAAATGCTACAATCCTGGCTCAAGCTGGACCTGAGAACAGCAGCAATTAAAAGGTGGCTCCACGTTCCTCCAGTTCTACTGATCAGAGGCCTTGCTGCCAGATGAAGTGGATCATCACACCGAGGACGATCGCCTCAATGAATCTAATAAATCCGTTGCGAAAACGCATCTTTGACTTACTCCTCTTTCTAATTTTATGTAAGAGAAAGGAAGCCAGCTAGTGATAATGGCTTTGTCAGAGAGTGAAATTTCTCTGCAAAAGGAGGCAATTGCTAGCCATTGCTGTTGCTAACGCAATTCCTGATAGGATTTGTTTCGAAGGTAAAAATGTCAATATTGACAGAGCTTTCCCCGATAATGATTAGGGAAAATAACAATGATATATCTGTTCTTGTCGATTACCAGAATGGAGAAAATGTGGTTGGATTGGTGATAATCTATATTGCGGCAAGGTTCAATGAGTAATGCATTATCGGCTTTTCTTATTTTAATTTTGGGAAGGTCGAAGGTAAAGCAACAGATTTAGTTTTGTCAAATGAACGTTGAGATTATCAAGGTGTGATTCTTTAAACTGCTTTTATTCAAGTTTGAATCAAGTCGCCTTTGAAAAAAAAATTCTCAAATATTTTGTTTACCGTATACAATTTGTTGATCAATTTGTTGATAACGTAAAAAAACCAGGATATATTTGAAATATGGAGTTAATACCAAAAAAGTGGATCTTTTCTGTTAATTCAACACAAAATATTAATCCAGTCCAAAATAAAAAGAATTTATATTTACTAAAATCCGTATCAAATTCTCACCGAGAGAGACCCTTCCATTGAACAACGGTTGGCTTGACCATTGTGATCGACCCAAATGTGGGCGACTCAGGTGCACTATTTCTAAGTTAAGGGGGTCTGCATTCACGCCCACTCGATAAACAAATCAAAAAAAAAAAAAAAATAAAAAAAATTTCCTTGTAAGTAGCTCGAATATCATCCGCACTTACGAAATTTGAATAACTCCATGATTTTTGGTAATTTTTCAGTTTGAGGGTTGGTGTTGCTGCGAGGCAAACGAAACAAGTTTTGATTTAAATCTATAATTTCAAAAGACTGCTAACAATTTAATAAAAAATAAACAAACTTTGATAAAAAATTTATAATTTCTTGGGGTGAATTAATATTTGCGATTAGTAACTTTAAATTATTTGCTGGGGTAGGGGATTAATAGAAAAAAATCAAGAAAGTAATAAATGACATTCAATAAAGAAAAAAAATATTTAGATTTAACTCATCGGACTCGATCGAGGATAATAAAATAAAAAGACGTACCTACTAAAAAAAACAAAATATATTATATAATATATTAACAACGAATATTTATACGGAAGATTATATTGTAAAGGAACATTACTGTCGTTCCTTTTGCTTACACAGGATAGGCTGCACAGACTTAAAGGAAGTTGACTTAAGTACTTTGAGATTAAATTCTGAGTACGGTCTGCAGAAAATAGAGAACATTCTCCTGGCACGCCACAGCATATTGACATTTTTTTTATCAGGTGCTCCACAATAGCAGACACAAAATGATCATTGAGTTGACCTCTCTTAATAAATGTCGGAACATGCTAAGAAATTGTACTCTCCCTAAGCTGAGTTGTCCTGCCTATGTAGTCAGCGCAAATATTGACATTAAAAAGAACAAATAAGATCACTTATTCTTGAAGATATGCAGATTATCTTTGCAAACAAATTTCAACACCGGCCGATAATTTTTAATCATTTCACTCCGAGCAAGGCGTTAAACTCACATATTATTTGACTGAATGATTAATTGCTTTTTTTACGGGTTACCGTCCTTTTGTGGGTTATTAAAAACCGAAACATTTTGGACGGTAAAAATATTTTTTTGGCTAGTGAATATTGCATTAACAATTTTTTGGAGATAATGATTTTACCAAATACATATCCTACTATTTAATCCATATCTGTGTGAAGAAATGGATTCATACCATTCACAAGGATATTTATACGTAAATGGATGTAGCAAACACAAATGGGTAAAATACACGGAGATGACTTTATTGATGTGAAAGGACAATAAAAGAACAAGCTTCAAGAGACATAAGAAAAGATGCATTTAATTTTTAAAAGATTGTATTTGACAGGAAACCAAGAATCTAGAATAGAGTTCCACAGGCGAGAAATGCCAGAGAAGAAACTATTAGAATAGAACGTACGCTTACATTTAGCAATTTGAATAGTAAAATGATGAGACCTATCTGCCAATCAAGTACTGCGCTTAAGTTTGTAAAGTGTAGGTACCAAAGATTGAAACAATTTAATCTGAAAAGATTTATAGAAAATACTCAGGGCAGTTTCTTGACAGCGATTGGAAAGCGATTGAAGTTGAGATACCAATTCAGTGTATATTGACTTGTTTCTGGGTAGAAATTTTTAGAATTTACATCTCTGTGTATACGTATTTATTTAATGACACGAATTGATCTCTATTGGAACCTTAAATGTTGAAATCATTTATTGGGAAAAAGTAAAAGCATAATCGTATTGATCACTTCAGCTGCTGTTATGATGACAATAATGAGAGGTCAATTGAAAATGAAGCCAGATAAAAATGACCAAATTAAGTCACCTTCCCTGGATCAATAGTTAACAAATTAGGCATCTAGGCCTTTTGTTTTGTCTAGTGATTTTCAGTCCCGTTAAGTGTACTACTATTGTATCTCTATGGCAGAGAAAATGAAGCATAGTCCAACTGTGGCTCTCTCGTCGTACTTTGGAAACTAATCACGCGCACGTTCTTACCATAGTCGATTTTATTCCCGCTGGGTGTTTTACTAGGATGATATGGTTAGCAAAGTGATGATAATTATGATGATGATGATGATGATGATGTTTTCGGTGATTTTCATGAAAAAC